CTTTTTACAGTATACAAATTTGACCTCTAACCTCTCCTTTGGTATCAAAAGACTGATTTAAAGGTCAAAGAATTAATAATAATATTTTTTTAAACAAACTATAAACTATGCTTATTACTGCCACTGATTGTATTGAAAACTGAGTAAAAGGAATAATATAGTCTCACGTTACTGATGTTACTAAATCTCATGTTACTTTGGACCTCAAAGAAGAGGTCAAACTTTCATAAAATGTTTTCTATCTTTATCACTATTCTCAGTGTTGTACTGCCTTTGTTTGTATCAGCAGCATTTAGGAAATTATACTGGGTATATTTTAGTATGCATCTAAATTTAGCACATTTAACATCTGACCTCATTTACATATTACACATGTGCATTTCTTTCATGTTCACCCCAAAATGCATTATTTTACTGTACTGTACATTTCTTAAAGAGTGTTTAAAAAGAACAAAAAACTAAAGTAATATATATATAAAGCACAATACTATTCCCTTTATAACTGCCTTGGTGGAGACTTGTTCTCTCGGAGTGCTTTTTGTGATGTTAGGGTTTTCTCTTTTTTTATTTTTATTTAATGGCACCCAATTTATTTATTTTTTTAAATTATACACATGAAGACGATTACTCACCGTGGTTAGTTTGTCATCTGTAAAGTGTTTTTTTCTCTGGAGCTCTAGAGGAGCTTGGTGAAGTCTGAGTAAATAATTGGATGATGTTATCTAAAGCTGCATTGTAGGAAATGTAGTCTGAAATGTTTGCAGACTGTGACTCACTGGGGACTAAAGGTCAGAATACATTTCAACATGTGCCGCCCTTCAGCCCTATCATGAGTTTTCTTTAGATAGCATCAAAGAAATCAGGAAGTCATCACATTAGCCAAACTCTCACTTTAGAATGTCGACTTTTTCTGAGATTTACCCACAAGTAATGGATCAGTGTGAGAGATGTCATGCCACCCCATGTGACCTAGGCCATATGTTCTTTCTGTGCCCAAGACTCCATGGCTTCTGGAGTCAGTATTCAGTTATTCTTTCCAAGGCTCTTGGGACCCAAATCTGCATGGACCCTTTTC